TGATTGGGAGATGTCCTGGATGATTGGAAAAGGGCAGCTACAGTGCTTATCATGGAGAAAGGGAAGAAGAAGAATCTGGGGAACTAAAGACTGGTCAGCCTCACTTCACTCCCTGGAAAAATCATGAAACAGGTCCCCAAGAATTCTTTTCTAAGCACTTGGAGGAGAAGAAGGTAATTAGGAACAGTCAGCATGGATTCACTAAGGGCAAGTCATGCCTGACCAATCTGATTGTCTTCTATGATGAAATGAATGGCTCTGAATTCAGGGAGAGCACTGGACATGATATACCTTGACTTTGGTAAGGCTTTTGTTACAGTCTCCCACAACATTCTTGCAAGCAAGCTAAGTACAGGTTGGATAAGTGGACTGTAAGGTGGATAGAAAACTGGACGGATCATCAGGCTCAAAGGGTAGTAATCAGTGGTTCAATGCCTAGTTGGCAGCTGGTATCAAGTGGAGTGCTCCAGGGGTTGGTCTTGGGGCTGTTTTGTTCAATATCTTCTTCAGTGACCTGGAAGATGGGATGGATTTCATCCTCAGCAAGTTTGCAGATGATACCAAGCTGTGGGGAGTCATAGATATGTTGGAGGGTAGGGCTAAGATTTAGAGAGACCTTGACGTATTAGAGAATTGGACCTTAAGAAATCTCATGAGAAGGGACCTACTGAATTCACAAAATCTGGCATTGCCTGTGAAATCTGAGCAATGCCCATGGAATCTGCAAAATCCATGGGGAAAAAATAAATTACTGAGCGCTGTGGTGTCTTGTTAGGGCTGGCAGTTGTGTGTGGGGGAGAGCCTGCCCACTCTAAGGGCTGCCTGACTTGTGGCCCTGCCCCTCTCCACCAATTGGTGGTGGGGGCGGAGCTTCATGACTGACAACTCTTGCAGCCAATCACGCTGAAGGGCATGGCCCCCACAGACAAGTAGTGGTGAGAAGTGGGGCCACCAGGACCCCTCAACCAATCAGTGGGGGGGGGGGCACCTTGCTCCACCCACAAAATGGTTGCCTGGGCCCATAGCCTGCCCATGAAATCAGGGGACAGCCCCACAAATTAGGTAGCCTCCTACTCATGGGGTTCAATAAGGACAAGGGTGAAGTCCTGAATTTAGGACAGAACAATCCCCAGCACCAGTACAGGCTGGGCACTCACTGGCTAAACAGCAGCTCTGCATTAAAAAACCTAGGGGTTGCAGTGGACAATAAGGTGAATATGAGCCAACAGCTAACAACATACTGGGCTGCATTAGTAGGAGCATTGCCAGCAGATCAAGGGAAGTGATTATTCCCCACTATTCAGCACTGGTGAGGCCACATCTGGAGTATTGCATCCAGTTTTGGTCCCCTCACTACAGAAAGGATGTGGACAAATTGGAGAGGGTCCAATGAAAGGCTGTAATGGTGGAAATCGGGGCTTGGCTCATTTAGTTTATGTTAAGTAGGTCAACACATAACCTTTATCTGACTCACCCTCAAGAGACCCCAGAATAGAGTGCTGTGTGCACACCCACGTGCCGTGTGCAGAGCCCTGGCGTGCCGGGTGCACTACCCCTATAAAGGGCTCTTGATTGACAGAAACTGTGTGTGTCTGGGTGTGTGGGGGCTGGGAGCATCTGAGCTTGGTGTGTAGGGGGTGTGTGTGTGGCTGAACTGAGGTGGGACTGCGAGAGGGAAAGAAGTCAGGATACTTGTGGACAGAAAGGAGAGAGAGAGAGAGAGAGAGAGAGAGAGAAAGATGGAGAGACTGAGTGGCTGGTTAACTGTGTGGACTGCTGAGATTCCTGGTACTGGGCCCGGTCGCCATGAGAGATTTTCTGTCTGCCACCGGAGCAGGAAGGGTTGGCTCCCTGGGCTTTTCCCTCTGGGTGTGTCTTTCCCGCAAAGTAGCGGCCCTCTGCTCTGTTTGGTAAGCATTACCCCATTCCCCTCTGGGTTTTAAGGTTCTTCTTCTTCTCAGCGGGTGTCTGAAGAAGATTAGAAGCCGCTGTCTGAGGTGCTGTCCTCTCCATTCCAACGACCGGAGCCGAACTGAACAAAGTTCCCCTGTCCGTTATAATAAGGTTTGGTCCTTGTATTTTAGTTGCTGTACTTAGGATTTGATAGATAATTAGACTAAGTGTATTCATGTGTAATTGTATACTGACCTGTTCTTGTCAGTGTTATAATAAACCATCTTGTTTGTGTACTGTTATCAATTCTCTTAGTTATTTATTTAATAAAAGTGGTGATTAGATACACTATGGGCAAAAAACCACCCCACCTCTCCGAGGGTTAATTGATGGAGCTAGCTGCTGGTTGGGCAGGGTCAGATAATTAAAGACAAATCGTTTTATAGTTTCATAGTTTGTAGGGTCAGAAGGGACCTGAGCAGATCATCAAGTCTGCCCCCCTGCCATGGGCAGGCAACTTATGGCCATTATTCCTTGTTACTCCCAGTAGTGCTCAGGGGAACAGGGACTCTCCCATTGCCTGCTGGTCTCCACTGGCCAGTTTATAGATGGCCACCAGATCCCCTCTCAGTCTTCTCTTGTGGAGGCTGAACAGGTTCAGGTCTCGTAGCCTCTCCTCGTAGGGCCTGCCGTGCTGCTCCCTGATAATGCGAGTGGCCCTCCTCTGGACCCTCTCAATGTTGCCCACATAGCTCCTGAAGTGCGGCGCCCAGAACTGGATGCAGTACTCCATCTGCGGCGTGACCAATGTCGTATAGAGGGGAGGGTCACCTCCTTGGGCCTCCTCATGATGCATCTATGGATGCATGACAAGGTGCGGTTAGCCTTCCTGACTGAGTCCCCACATTGGCGGCCCATGTTCATCTTGGAGTCTATAATGACTCCAAGATCCTTTTCTGCCTCTGTGCTGATGAGAAGGGAGTTTCTCAGCCTGTAGGTATGCTGCTGGTTCTTTCTCCCTAGGTGCAGCACCTTGCACTTGTCAGTGTTGAATCCCATCTTATTCTCATCCGCCCACCCCTGTAACCTGTCCAGATCCAATTGCAGCCTGTCCCTCCCTTCTAGCGTGCCCACTTCTCCCCACATCTTAGTGTCATCCGCGAATTTGAACAAGGTGCTTTTCACCCCCTCGTCCTAGTCGCTGTTGAACAGTGCGGGCCCGGGAACTGAGCCCTGGGGGATTCCACTGCCCTCATCCCTCCAGGTCGAAAATGACCCGTCCACCACCACTCTCTGGGTGTGGCCCTCCAGCCAATTGGCCACCCATTTGACTATGTAGGCATTGACACCACAATCTCCTGATTTTTAAATGAGAATGGTGTGAGAGACAGTGTTGAAGGCCTTCCTCAAAGATCTTCTCCAGGACCAAGGTAAGGCTAACAGGCCTATAATTTCCTGGGTCCTCCTTCCTTTTTTTGAAAATGGGGACCACATTGGCCCTTTTCCAGTCTTCTGGCACTAAATTGATAATTAACCCCCAACAGGGCAATGGAAATGTTTAGGGAGCTGGGGCACATGATATATGAGGAGAGGCTGAGGGAACTGGGCTAATTTGATTTGGAGAAAAAAAGAGTGAGGGGGGATTTAATAGCAGCCTTCAAATACCTGAAGGGGGGTTCCAAAGAGGATAGTGCTAGACTGTTCTCAGTGGTGGTAAATGACAGAACAAGGAGCAGTGGTCTCAAGTTGCAGCAAGGGAAGTGTAGGTTAGATATTAGGAAAACCTTTCTCACAAGGAGGGTACTAAAGCACTGGAACAGGTTACCCAGGAAGGTTGTGGAATCTCCAACCTTGGAAATTTTTAAGATCCAAATAAAGCCTTGGCCAGGATGATATAGTTGGGGATGGTCCTACTTCAAGCAAGGGTTTGGACTAGATGGCTTTCTGGCATCCATTCCAACCCTAATTTTCTATGATTCTTTGTTTTCAGAATAGCTCTCTCTGTCCATTTTCAAATTGCACCAGTTGCCCAACCAACAATATGCCAATAATTCAATTACAAATTGAATTGCTTTTTGCTGCTTTGGGGGCGTTAGGGCCCAATTTAACTGTGTGCAATGTTGTGACAGCCTTGTGCTCCTTAGTGTACTGGTGAAGCTAACATAATAAAAGATAATAGAAGGTGAATACTATGTGGCTTTAAATTCATAGCAATATCACATGGTAGCCTCCTGTTTGGGCCAATCCAAGACGTTCCAAGATTAGCTTTCATTATTTGTTAAATGCACCTTCATCTGTCTCCTGTTGCTCTGGCAATGTGCTGGTCAGTCTAAAGAGTAGTCTGAATGATAGGCCATTGGTGTCTGATGGACCATTACTTTCAGACAACAGGAAATTGTATCTTTGTAATGGCTTAACCTCTGTCTTATTTTGAATTCTTCCTATCTTTGACATGTATGAGCACCATTCTGGGAGTAGGCCTAAGTTCTGAAGCCAGTCGTAGAGGATAGTGATAGGGTTTTTCAGTTCTCTGTGGTGTTGTTTTATCTAGTACATGGACAGATATGACACCATCCTCTGAGAATAGCTCCCAGCTAACTTATCTACCCTCCATCTTCTATGCAGTAACACAGAAACTACAAAACTTAGAGTGAGCCAGTGAAATAGCAGAGCTATACAGCCATTTGTTTCTTGCTGTCCTCTGTCCAGGCCTACCCAATTTGGAATCTCACCCCTGGCACATTTGTGCCTCATTAGCAGGAGTTTCTTCAGGCACAAAGGGCCCTAAAGGGAAGGAAAAAAGGGATGGGCAATGGGTTCTGGAGAGCTAGGTCAAAGGAAGTCACAGGAGGACTACAAAAGAGGTTAAGAAGTGAGATCAGAGAGATGAAAAACAAGGTGGCTAGCATGGCTGCTGACAGAATGGAGAAGGGCCCCTTAGCAAGGCTAGTCAGGGTTTAGATATGTGCACGTCAGAAAATAGTTATAGAGGTGATTTCCCATTATGCCACAATTGCTTATATGGCATTCTACTGCACTTAAATATTATTTTACTTATGTTGCCTTGACTGCTTATCAAGATCTTGATTCCGTATATGGTTTGAGGCATGACACCTAAGCCCAGCCTTAGCATTTACCCATCAGAACAAGCCTATTTCCCACTAGCATTCTGGGCTAAGTGCACATACAGGTATTGACTGACATATAAACTTTTGACATGTGGTACTCCATGTTGTGTAAAACTGTAAAGACCATGATTTCTGACTTCCTCAAAACATTTAATTTCTAAATGATTGCTTATGATATAACCACAGAAGGGAAAGCTAATTACAAGTGAATTATTCTTAACCAACGCTATTAATGTATATTGACATGGCATGCTGCAAGGAAAAATTTAAAAATAATTATCATTTTCTCTCTTCTATCAACAACATGAATGCTAATTCAGATTAAAGATGAATATTAAGCAAATATTTGATGTATTACATTACATGGGAAAATGGGCTACAAAGTTAATTTACATTTAACTGTATTAGTATTACTCTTTCTTTAACTGGAGTTTATAACACTCATATGGGGTTTGCTTTAAGAGCAGGTAATGATGATGATAATGATTAATGATATTTTATCTTTGATTCAAAATTAGATCCTATAATACTTTGTGTGATGGTAATGCCATCCATCCCTTTATTATAGAACGTGTGCGTGTGAGACAGGCAGAGTGCGCTCCTCCATTTTAGCAACTCTCCTATTATTACAAAACTGAGGCTTGGCTCCAACCAGAAAGAAATGCATTTTAGTTTAGAGATTGTGTCTTGGAACAGCTCAGCTTTTCAGAAAGCTCCATTCCTTAACCCTGATCCAGTAATAAAACTCTAAATATGCAAGTTACTTCTGTTGACTTCAGTGCTCAGCTAGGCAGGTTTAACTACTTGGCTGCAGTAAGTCTTTATTCCTTGAAATCACAGAGGTAGCTTATATGACAAAATCATTTTAATAAAGCTTGTAATTCATTTTACTTGTCTTTTATGGAAATTTAGCAACCGGAAAGAAGGAGGAAAGTTATATGCTCTGTCAGCTGTCCATAGACTATGAATCGGTTTTGACTTTGATTACAGGACTTATTTTTGGAGGATGCACTCAGAACTGATACTGTGGAGATAACAGACAAGTACAGACTAACATATTGGGGAAAGAACAGTCCAGGAAGGAAGCAGGCTACAAAAATATGCTCATATAACTATTCAGGTTAGGCAAGCGAACAAGCAAGCAAACAAATGCATTGAGTTGTTGTTTTTTTTCTTAAATTACAGTGTAAATATATAGAGAGTTTACGCACAGGGCTCCAGAAGCATGGCCTTAGGGGAAAGTTGAATGCAGCAAGGGTGATGGCTTAAGCAATAGATTTTGGGAGGGCATTTCAAGCTTAAGGGGCAGCACTGAAACAGGCATAAAGTCGGTTGAAGAAAATGGAGATGAAAGGAGCATGGCAATCAGTATCTGAGAGGCAGGAACCCCTGAAGAGAGAGAGACACACACACACACACACACACACACACACACACACGTCAACTGAAGGGAAGGTCGTGGGTTCAGTTCTGTCCTGGAGGCTGGAGCGGTAGCAGCCTAGGGCTAGAAGAGCAGGCGCTCCTGTGGCCCTGTTGCCTCCCACGGGCTGCAGTCTCTGCCCGCGGTTTGGCAGGACGGCGTTTCCACGTGTCCTGGCCCCTGGCTCCCTCCTCCCCCGCGCCTCGGCTGCCGCCGCCTGGAGTCCGACCGCCCCCAAGCTTCCCCGGCCGGCCGGGCGGG